GGGCCGAGGGGGCCTGGGGCTCCTGCGGCCACTGCCCCGCAAAGGAAAAACTAGTCAGAGGGGTGATGGCGCGGGTTTCTGGCCACAGCCTCCCGCCAGCAGCTTCTGTAGCCGCGCAGCGCGACACTTGTTACTTCTCTGAGGACACGGCTTGCTGTGAGTAAGAAAGGGGCTTTCGCACATTTAAGGGAGATGAGTTTCCCCTCAGAGTGTTTATCGTTTATTCTCTTACACTTGCATTGGTTTTCTTTACCATTTACTGTTTACCAACTGCTTTTTTTGGAGTCAATACATGGATCTTCCAGTTACAAGAAAATTTGCACTTGAATGTAGAGCCACCTTTCACGCACTGGGGAAAGAAAACATCAAATATGTGTTCTGAGCGTTTGGGCTAAATCAAGACGACACAAACTCTGTAGAGTTCATATCAACCGCTTCCCAGAATTTCTTTCGAGTTTTGATCCTTCTTTTCTCTGCTTTCGGTAAGGGACACATTTCCTGGAGAAATGAAAGAAATCACAAAGCAAGACAACGGAAAAGAGGCATTTGAGGAGCTGCTGAGCGATGAACAATTAAATTTTGATCATTCTTCTGACCGCTGGGGTCCACGTATGTTTACCTAAGTCTCAGAGGCCCGGGGCACTTTGCCATTCTTCAGCACTACTGTGCACTTGAAGGTTTAAATTACAAACACGGACAGAAAGACTTTTCCCTCACCGTACTCAGGCGTTCTCGCACCCGTAGAATGTGTCTCTTTCGAATTCTTTTCCATCCCTTTGAGTTTCTCTAGTGGTGAACCCGAAAGAGAAGTCTGTCACTAAATATTAATTACTCCAAATCTTTTATGAATAGACACACTGGCATATAATTGAATAAATGGTGCCTATAAAGTTGGCAGTGTAGTTAAGCATCAGAATGTACTCAGATACCAGAACTGTGGTTCCCGAGAGCACAAAACGGGAGAAATCCTCTTGATTGCAACGTTCTCAGTAAAGTGAAGGATTTCCCTCATTCCAAGATGAGAAAATGTCACCCTAAATTGTAGGGAATAAAAACTAAAAGAATATTAACACCAGCAAAGATGTCAAAATTATGATGGTATTATTCATACGTCAACATTTTAAAAGAACACAAGGCATTCGCCTACAACCTTTACCCCCCAAAAATGATCCAAAGAGTTTTATACTAGTAATGAAGCCTTACCTAAGTGGACCTATATAACTATGAGTAGGCTGAAGCTTCCCAGTCCCCCATAATAATTTTTGAATGATTATTTCTGTAGTACTTTTAGTATTTTATGCCTAAATTTTTATTTTTACTGGAAAGCATTATTGCTGCCTGCTTATTACCTAATTTGGATTTTATAGTCTTAAAAACATGGGTTAAAGTAGAGAGCTTAATAAAATTTTAAAGATAATTTTCCTCAAACCTTATAACATTTCTTCATAAGAATTTAATTATATACTCTTTTAATAACCTAAGAGATACATTCATCACTAATGTGGTTAATATTTTATGAACTGTTTGATAAGCATATAAGGTCTGTTTCTTAAGTGATTTTATTTTACAAATTAGATATTACTCTTTAAATTCTACATCACTGATTCTTGAAAAACCTGCTTGCTTTTTTTAACGTTAATATCCATTAATATGGAAAAAAGCTTAATCATATGTTAAACTTATTTACATAAACAAATAAGGTCACTAACAGATACTCTCTTTAATTTGATATTAATTCTTGTAACTTATTTAAAACGCATAGCAAAACAATTCAAAGCAAGTGGTTGTTGTTCCTAAGTCAGACTTTCTCAGCTTCATGACCTCTCAAGTCCATCACATCCTTCGCTCATTCAAAGTTTGTCTTACCAGGAAGCCTCCTTCCATGTTGCTCATCCTGAATCTGTTATGTCTTTGTTGTCTAAGCCTCCTGGAACTTATGTATTTTATGTGCTCAAATTAGCATGTTACGCTGTACTCCTTCCTAAGGAAGTTAATACATGTGTGATTTGTGTTGACAATTCTGTTTTAAACAGCTTGACATCCAGGGTCTTACCATTCACAATATTTAATAAAAGCCAGCATGCAATAGGAACTCAATAATTGTTTTCCTACCTGACACCTGCATGCCAATTAGTGACAGATTACTATTACTGTTGATGCTAACCCATCTAAACTAAAGGGAAGGGTATGTTTTACAGTATTGTTATAATCAGGGCTTTAAAAAACAACAAGGCTATTACAATTTTGGTAAGAAAAATATTGTTAAAGCTAATACTTTCAATGAGAAAGACTTGAAAATAGACTAAAGATAATAAAAATGACTCCTATAACTATTACTCATATTCTTAGATCTTTTATTTCAAGGCAGGTGGAGGAACCACTGAGCTAAATCCCTGGCCCTAGATCTTTTATTTCAATTAATGTCTTATAGTTCAAATGAAGGAACTACAAAACAAAAGTTTATCATCAGTTTATATTATAAAACAAGTAATAACCAGTGTAAATTATATTATTTTTAATAAGCATCAAAATAGTATCTATTTTTCTATTAGAATATTTTTGATAGCATGCAGATGGCTAAAACTTGAATGTTTCCAATAAATTTCAAGTGTCCATTCCATCTGAGGCAGATGTTTCTTGATTATAATTAGATCCAAATAAAAGTTTCCAAAGGTGAAAAGCAAAACACTTAATTCCTTCTTGAAAATGATCTCTGTATAATGACTGTCAGTGAGGATGCTAGTGTTGGTAAGTGTCGCTAAGCTTATTAGTAATCACTACTAAATTCTAGTAATAACCATCTTGAGTGTTTATGCTCCTATGTAATGTAACACTGATGAATTACAACATTAAACTAAATTCTAAAGATGTGCCATTAAAAATGACCAGATCACTTTAGAAACTCATTGGCATTTATAGAATGCTGAAATTTTCAATTCTCAAAACCAGATACGAATTAGAGTGCAATCATTAGTTTTGTTTAAATAATCAGTACTTTCACCAAGTGTTTTAAGTAAGATATATAAATTTCATTTGAAACAGTGTTTTCAGGAAACAAAGAAAGGCAATATCAAAGAATTATATCTCATAAAAATAGCAGTAATAATAATAATCCTAAAAGAAAGAAAATACTTCTTTCAGAGACCTACACTACAGCTTAAGCTTCTGGGTAGGAAAGGATTATGGAAGGGCAGACAGATAAGGAGGATTGGCTGTGTGAGCTGAAATCATTAAAGATGTCCATCCTGATCCATGTGAATAAATACCTTCTGTGCCAGTGAGCAGACATTGGCAGCCTTGGATCTCTAACTATTCTGACATCGCAACACCTGCAAGTTGTCTTGTAAAGGTGTATTGTTAATGTTATTTGAAATAAGCGGGTCTTCATCTGCTGCTTGGGAATTTTTTTTTTTTGGCCAACATTTCGAATTTTAATACAATGGGCCTTGACATGTGTGTAAGGGGAGGCAGCTACAATAGAAGGCATTATTGGCTTTTTTGAGCTCTATCTCAAAAATAAGGATCACAGTGATTGACTTGACCCAAAGCATTGATTCCTTTCAGTTTGTCTTAAAAACAAAGAAAGGGAATGGCCGGGGACACAAGTGGGCCCCTCAAAGTTTTGTTTCCATCTGGGCCACAATGAGATGGGCATTCAAGGGTATGTGGCAGTGGAAGAGCTCATTCACATGGGTGGATGGTTCTGATGTCAGGCCTAGACTTATAAAGATGGCAGGTTTTTTTTAAGAGAAGAAAGCAAAGTTTTTGTCCCTGCACTTCTCTTATTAAAGTGCCAAAAGGAAACAGTGGTCTTAAAGCACAGGCACATATCATGCTATATTAGAACAGTGTCCAGGCTATGTTTTCAGGGATTTGGTTTTACACAACTGAAGGTCATAGCCTGCACTATCAGCACACAGACTGTCTATTGGCATCTGTGCAATCAGCCTGTTGTGAGGCATAAAAGAGCTTTGTATATTAAATCTTTTGAAATGGACTCATGGGGAAAATAACACAGAAGCCACAAGATGTGCAGTGTTGCTCTTCCAACATTTCTTCTGAGAATCAAAGAAATCTACAGCATCCACCACATCAGTAGCTGAAGGGAGAGGAATTTGATACCAAGTGACTATAATGTCCTTGTCACATTCATCTTCTTTGATTCTGAAATTGGAGTTTAATGATTTTGTGTACTTATTCTGTCCTCCCACCATCAAGTCACCACAGAAGGCAAAGTCAGTACCAGGGAACTTCCTCCACCCTCTTGCAGATCTGGGTTCCCCTGCACTTTTCTACCAACAAGGAGGACACATTTCAGCAGGATTGTGAAAAAGGATTTGATTGTATCCAACAGGGTAAAGCCAAAGAGAACAACCTGAGAACCAAGGTCACCTCTAGCCTTCAGATACCTGTTCCTCTCTGACTCCCTGTCTTTAGTTCCATCATCATAACTGATGGGCCACTTGGAAATTAATTTTTCTCCTTCTCCTTTCAGCATTCCATTTCTGATAGAGATTATCATTAGAAATTTCCAGCCAGGCATTCTGGGCCTATTAGCCTGCTTTCCACCTATATGTTAAAATAATCCTGAGTAAGGACTCTTGCTTTCTACAGATAAACTGCCATCGCTGCTATTAGTAACAAAAAGTATTTATTTAACACAACTTTTATTTGCAAAAATATTCTAGAGAGTCTAATGTATTCTTCTGACTGGAAATACCCATAATGGATCAATTTTACCTTCTGCTAATTGGAAGACAGTCATCCAAGGCGCTCTGAGAAGCTCTGTGGAAGGACACTACTGTGCCAAGTTTATCATCACAGAAGAGTGCCCCAAGGCCAAATGTTAGTTGGTGTTGCTTCGATGCCATATTATTCATTTTAAAAGGTCCCACCTGGCCCGAGATCCAGTGTGTGACAGAGTTGGGTAAAAAGAGAGATCTCATAGGCCTTTGCCCAAGCCAGCCAACTAGCAAAGGAAGAGCAAGAGGAAGTAATCCTCACACATGCTGATGGGTAAGATGGCCCCAGGGGAGTCACAGAGAGAAATCTCCAGATGGGAAAATCATTTGCATATTCTGGGTAGACTGAGCTTCCTCTCCTTCCCAAAAGGCCTAGCAGTGGGCTCCTGGTCACACAATGAACATCTTGACTCAGGAAATCTGTTTTATTATACACAGGCTGGCCTAGCTTTACTATGCTTTTAATAGAATCACCAAAAACAAGCACAGCATTTAAGTAAAATTCAGGAAACCAAATGTGGCTTCAAGACCATCATACCATAGTTACCATTTAGCCGCAACTGCTTTTCCATCCATAAGGTAAGGCCTTACCACAGGGACACTGGGAAATATAAGGGAACATCATTAACTCAAATTCAACTCATTTGATAAAGTTAAACAATCAAAGTCTAAAGGTCTAGACAATGTTATCTTGTGCTTTCTGAATAATTCTCCTAATTGATTTAAAAATGGAACTGAAAAATTAAAACCAAGCTAAAAATCTCTGTGATTTTTAACTCTTATGTGATTAATAAGTCAAAATATAATTTCATTAATTTAAACGTTTATTTCCTCTAATGGGTTTTTTCAGACTCTGGAGTTAACCTAGAAACAGTGACGTTGTTTGTTGGAAAGCTTATCAGGTGGGATCTGGTAGAAAAGACATAAGGTTCCTGGGGTCTTAGAAAACCCCACACTGCCAACAGTAATGCACACCCTCAGTAAAGATGAGAGTGACACTAAATGTATTAACATAAATCTAGATGTTAAAGTGGCATGGGAACTTTCTAGATATGATACAGTAGCATCTCAACTTCTGAATGAGATGTTACTTATTTTTTTCAGCTGCAAAGTGTGTCTGTTGATTACCTGCCAGGGCTTTCTCTCTAATTTGTGAGAGGTTTGCAATGTATCCATGTTGACTAACTCTTTTTTAGCAAGAAGTTTGCTATTTTTTATAAGCAGCAGTTTTTTTTATTGTAGTAAGATATTCATAATATAAAACAACCATTTTAACCATTCCGAATTATTCAGTTCTGTAGCACTAATTACATTCACAATGTTTTGATTAAACTTAACCCTCTTCTCCTGAGACCAGTGAATGTGGTCTTACATTTTAGAAACACAGTAAGTACAAGGACTGCAGAGCATGACCGAAAGAGATTATTCAGCTGGGGCATTTTCTCACTCAGTACCCAGAAATTTTGGTCATTTCCATGTACAGGACCTCTTCTGGGTTGTTGACCCAGGAATGAAAGCTAAATTACTCATTCAGCCAACTTTATTTTAGCTATTTTGTTTGTCATCCTATGAAGAGTCCATTATGACTGTATCAATAGACTATGTATTCTCATACATCCTATATAGATAGCTTTACTAGCTAGGCTTTAGGTCCATTTTGTAAGATTTGCATACATGAATTATAAAATTGATGAAAAGCAGCTATATGGGCAAATTAGATTTCAGTATCCCTTTTAGATCTGTTTTATGCCTTGTTCTCTAAGGCAGGTTGTGGAGTTTTGGTATTTCCAGATCTCTGTATTTACTAAGGTGAGATCACTGTAGAAGGGTCTCAATTAAAATGTTCCTCCCATATAAAAGCAAGTTATAGGGCCAGGGATTTAGCTCATTGGTTCTGCCACCTGCCTCGAAAGTGCAAGGTCCCGAGTTCGATCTCTAGTACCCCCCAAAAAGGAAGTTACACACTAAATAGCCTATTTTAGAACTAGGTTAGTAATATATGCTAGGAAAGTCTACTCCATCTGTCTTCATTCAAGCTTTATTTCTTAAGTAACCATAAAATGTCTGATATTTTTGAAATCTGATTTAAACATATCCAATATAAATAAGTTTTCAAAAGAGCAATCAGTATGAGGAAGAGAAACTTGTGACTCACTAAAATATTCCCCTGAATGTTGAACATTGCTCCTTGCATCTATATTCCATTTCTAAAAAGATTTCCACAAAGTTTTAAGTATGTGTGAGTTTGCATATATGCATCTTATTTTAGCTTTTAGCTTCCCCAAAGCCATTGAAAATAATTCTAGCAATCCACAGTGCCTGACTGGAGTTGCTAGTCTTAACTAGACATTAAAGAATATCCCCCTTTTCCTTGAACAATGAGTTCACTAAAGTACCAGCATGACCACTACCATGCTTACCAAAGGTTAAACCAAACAATTAAGAAGGCCCAGAGCTGTCATGTCTAGCTGAACTGACCCAGAAAACAATCACCAAGCACAAAATAACTCCAAAGAACATAGGATCTATGAAAACTTGAACTGCTCAATGGAATGAAGAAAATCAAAGAGAAAGGTACCATTAGAAGGAAATATAGCACAAATCCTGAGTCTAAAACCTTGTAGTGTATTTTATATGGCACTTGATGCACATAAGTCAAAATCCCACAGTTTCTTCCAGCTGTCTATTGTCCCTCTTGATACATACTATTCCAAAATAAGAAAAGTGTGGCCATTATCAATTTTTTCGTTTTCCTCCATGTCACAGCAGGTAGCTTCTCTGTGGATTTGGAAAGGCAAGGGTTAAAATTAGGTTTCTAGGGGACAGTGGCTAGGTCAGATGGTTTAACAGGAATCCTCAGATCTTCTCTATCTCCACAACTCGGGTCTCTCCAGCCAGTTTTGCTTTCAAATAAGTAGTTTCTATCTTCATTTTTCCTGTCTCTTATTTCATATCTTGTTACTTTCATCTTTCATATCTTCATATTTCCACTTTTTGTTTTCTAGCTTTCATGATGTGGATTCAATTCCTGTTTTAATCTTCCTTCTTCAACATTTGATACATTTCCACCCATATATTTTCCACGAGTTATATTTATAGAGATCGCATTGGTTTCAGAAAGAAGTGTTACCCATTTTGTATGTTTCTAGACGGTTTTAAATTTCAGTTTTTCCTAATTAACCCATACACTTGATCCATGGGTTATATCAAAGTATGTTTCTTAAGTAGGTAAGAATAATTTTGGACATTATTTTATTTTTGGATTATATAAAAGAATGTTACCTGCAACATTTCTGATTTTACATTTTAGGAAAATAAGTGTTTCTAGTGCCCACGTATCTGATTATATTTTCTAATTGTTAGACAGGGGAAGGAGAGGCTGGGCTGAGTGATTCACACGGAAGGTCTGTTCTGGAGACACATTGTCCAGCTTCAGATCTTTTTTTTTTTTTTTTAACTGATCTGCAGTTTTTTTTTTTTTTTTTTTTTTT